GGATCGAACTGAAAGTGCTCACTGCTCTGTCCCCCCCCCCTCCCCACTGCTTCAGCTTCACCACTAAAAAGCGGCCAACAACGGTGTGCAGTTAATAAGGCTGAATGCTCTGTCTGCACTACTGTCGGCTGGTTCCGCTGTTCGACAGGATATTTAAAAAACGCGTTTCGAGAACGAAGCCTTTTCTGTGACCAAGTGCGGCAACTGCGCGCTCCGAAAGGAAAATAACCAGACATTTAAACCCGAACTCCGGGAAGCTTCTTCCTCTGAACAGGCTTCAACTTGAAGCATACAGTGGTGCTGAAATGTCGTAATTTCGACCGACGCAATACTTAAACACGATCATCCAGATACTAACGACTGAGCAAGAAAGTCTACTGTTAAACATAATGCAACTCGTCGTTCCTCTTTACCCCAAAAGGCAAAATTAAAGTATCGTAACATACAGAGTCTGTAACCAAGTACAGGCGAACGACACAGACGGCTGACGTTTCAATTTGCAACCGTTACTGACACGACGCTACCGTACTTAATACGTTTAGCATAATAGTACATGCAAATCATTTCCATATGGTGAAGATCAAATAAAGCTCTACATCTACAATCGCATGTATATGGCCTGCAATTATATGAAATGCTTCATACTTGATAGTCTTGCAAACGAAAGTTTTTAGCCATTTCACCTGTAAAAAATATGACCAGATTTTTCGCTTGGACTATTTGGCATCATTTTTATTTGATTTGAGTGAGTGACGCTGGAAACGACAAAAGGAAACATGTGGGAAGGGCGAGTTATTCCTTGTGCTGAATACTAGTCAGCTACTAGTCGAACCAGATTAGTTGCATCAACGAAACAATTTTCAAGCACTAGACAATTTCGCTATACATCTCGTAAGCTCTGGCATGACCATGGCAAATTTCTACACCGTCTGCATTATTCCCAAGTCAACGACTTGTTATTATTTTCAGACTAACTGCACAGAAGCAAACTTTTCTCTATGTATGCTCAAGGAAATTATTAGTTTTAGCACGAAAATTCTACGGGAGTCTCATCCAATAGCTGATGTTGAAGACAACCAAACAAGGCACTCCGACAGTCTCGATGATTACATATCCCTAAGAGTCGTGGAGACAGCGTCATACAGTATCTCCAACGTTCCTGTAAAATTGATTGAATTTCGGCAGCGGATAATCCACATATGGTCTATCGAGACACTCTTTTCTGGAGATGTTTTTGACCATGCCCGAATCTTCGGTCGGTTGGCTGACCAAGCAGTAGCATTTTCGACTCAGTTCTAAGAGCACTCACAGAATGTGTCAAAACAATTGCAGTTTTAATTTATTAATCTGGTGAAACAGCGTCTGTACACCAAGGCCTTCTTGGATATTTGAACTTCAGGTCTTGTAGATACGCGCGAGCCATGCGATTCATCTATGAGCCTAAAAACTGACCTTCACACAGACAAATTCTTCCTCAGATTCAGCTCTCTTTAGTCGCAACCATTCGAAAGAGTTCAGGAAGAACATCG